TCATGTTAGATAGGCAAAATGTGAAAAGAAAAAAAAAGGCACAAGAGATACATTGCTTTACAAACCTTCAGACTTAATAAAAAAAAAAATTGATATTTTGCATATGAAAGCATTGTAATGTTTACTGATAAACTGCCAAATGTCTCAACATTCACTTACTAATCTAAAAGTTACAGCATGGAAACAATAACAGGCACAAAATGGTAACGAGGTCAGTCCCAGGGACCAAGCCCAGTTTGAAAGAGTTAATTCTTTAGCCAGTATGCACCATGAGATATTTCCCAGGTTGGTCCATTAATGCCAATCCACCCCTGACTTTTTTCTCTATATTTGACAGATATGTACCATCTATTCCACTTCTTTTAAAGTTTCTCAATTTTAGGGTAAGGTCACTAGTTTAATTATTAAAAGAAGCATCTGGATTGAAAGGGTGACAGTAAGTACATTATGGTTCCTATGAGGCTACTTTTGTTTTATTTGGGGTTGAAAGATCTTCAGTATTATAATTGGCCTGATGATGTCAAGTACTTTTTTTCTGTAGTGCTATCTAGAGAAGATGATTTTAAAATTTCTTATTACAGAATGTAGGATTATGCCTAGTGATTCTTAAATTTTTATTCTAACAGTTGTTTCATTCCAGCATGAGAATTTCTAACAGAGAAACTGGGCATTGCCAAAACTGTTCTTTATTCTTAGATAATTTTTTGTAATACTGTTATAAAAGCATGGGCTAAAAAAAATGTTATTAAAGCTTCACTGAAATGTCGTATATAATAATACACTAGCAACTGAAGTCTGCAAAAAACACAATAATTATAACTCTCTCAAAGAGTACAAATATGTCACTATTTGTCCAACCACTCACCTCTCCACTACTTCCATTACAATATTCTGGGATATCGCATTCATCAGCTTCATTCCGACACAGCTCACCAGCAGTCCGCAACTACAAGAGACAAATCAGTTGTCAACTCTTTGTGAAAACTCTTCCAGCACTTTTTTTGTTAACCCGAAACACATTATACTATAATTAGAAACAGTACACAAGCAGCACAATTTTAAACTAGAAAGAAATAATTAAAAAGTATTTAGTAAAAACAATAAGAAAACATAATTATATGGAATCAGAAGGTTTTAATAATGTCAACTTAGATAAATATGAAAAATGAGCTATATTTAGATTAATGATACATTCATGTTCATATATACATTATGAAGCAAAATTACACAATTTGGTCAAACACATTTCTGCAAACAAATAATTTTCAGCAAGTGTTACGACGTTTGCCATATATTTGTTCAAGTCATAAGCAGTATTTAAAACAAAGGCAAGAATCCACTGCCAGATAATGACAATTTATTGAAAAATAAATGAAAAAAAAAACATTCATGACAAGCTGCTGACTTTAGACATTCTAATGTCTTTCCACTCAATAGTCTACGGGTAGTCTTAATTGTCTGTATAACTTTTCTCTAATTGAAAACACAACTTTCCATATCAAAACAATCTAATATACTTTTTCTATAGTCTACAATGAAAACACCTTCAGATTAATTTCTAAGAGTATACAACTTGTTAATTCTGTGTAACAATCACGCAGCAAAAAAATTCTATTAATAAAAGATATTATAACATTCAAGAATAATTATAAACACTCCATACTAATAATAATGATATTCAAAAATTTCTAATCATCTGAAAAATAAACTTATCAAGATGATTTTTCACTAATGAATTCCAATATGAAAAATACTGTGATTATTAAATTGTGATAATGCTACAATATTTACGACTAGTTGCTTCTAATGTTAAAAATTTTATGTATTTAATGTTAATCAACTGATCAATGAATTCCAGTGGGAAAAATATTTTTATTATTGAATTTTGTTATAGATGATATGATTTTAAATTTATAATGATTTCCACAATTTCCTCAAAGTAGCAAACATTATGTGTTGTATCACAGGTTCAAACCAATGGAGAATATTAATCACAACAAAAGTTGTGAAAATAAATAATTTATTTTATAATATATTTTGTGATTAAAGAAATGTTGCCACACAGAACCTTTCTGTTGAATAAAATGAGATCAAAAAATACCTAACCAGTTCACAAAATGATATAAAAGAAAGTGCTCAGTGAGAGGCTTATGGTGAAATATCACTGATGTATTAGCTTTATATACAAAGTAACATATTTGAACCATCACATTCTCAAATGAAAATGATGGTAGAAATTTATGAACTGGAGAGCAACAGGGGTTTTGGTAAGCATTTTCAACAGTTTATTCACTTAAAGGTAATACTTAGTACGATATAAACACACAGTTTAAAACTCTATTAAATTAAAAAGTGAGAACATCATCTCCTCCCAAATATCTTATATAATATAAATATACATGGAAAGACAGAATGAAATTGGATTAATATGCTGTTAACTAGGGATGCACAGGTACCCGGCCGGGTATTGGTCTACCTGGTAATACTCTGCTCAGGCCGAGTGTCGAAGTTCAAAACAGCCGAATCCGGGTAATTGAAAATGGCATCTAAGCCTTAATCTTTGTGGCAACTTACACGGTACTGAAAGTTACAATTGGTTTAGTTAAAAAAAAAACGGGTTCTGAGCAACAAAGACTGACTGCCCGCTGAAAGTCGAGGATTTAGGGAACAATGGGGGTTAATAACGGGCATGGCTTGAGAAGTGGATTTCTGGAGAAGGTGGGGTTTTTCAGAGCAATAGGGGTCAGGGTTTGAGAAGTTGAAACTAGGCAATGAAAGTTGAAACTAAAACTTGAATGTTCTGTTGGTGATTATTCAGTTAAATGTAATAAATGTCAATTTTGTTTTTGTTTCTAATTTCTGTGTATGTTGTTTTGTTGTTGTTGTTTTTTTTGGGGGGGGGGCGAGGGGAGAACCCAGTCTTGGGTTTACACCTGGCCCCAGCCGAAGTTTAGTAACTGGGTGCCCGGACCCAGTAATCGGCTAAATTTTACCACCCGTGCATCCTTACCGTTAACCAAACAGGTCCTTCTTTTAGCTAAAAGAAAACTGACAAAGAACAAATAACTTAGAATTCATCTAATTAGGCTTAACAAGTTTTGAAGTGAAAAGTAATGTTCCTTATGGTTTACTTTATTTTTTGATCAAAGCATAACTATTATTCAATCAACGTTCTTAGAATTAGACTTAAATGTAAAAAACCTTATGGTCAAAATAAAAAATAAACTGCTTAATTTCAACAAGTACTGCTCTCTACCAGATTTAACTTATGTGACATCAGTTTTTGCACTTTCATAAAATCAAATTTAATTTTAATAAATATATATATATATTGTTCATTTTACTAAACGGTTATCGTGTGTTTTTGTTGTGTTAAAGATTTGAATACTAGAATACAAATTTTGGTTAAAATAGTTCTATGGCAGAAGAAGTAGAAATATGAGAGTTATTAAATCATCATGCAGTATTACATAATTTTACAAACAGTATTTTCTTGTTATTGTTGAACCTTCACGCATCAAAATATACGTGCTCATATATAAAACTCATTGCGTTAAATTGAATATAGCAACAATAAGCATTTTTATAGGACATTTCAGGTTAAAAATGCAATCCATCTTCAGCAGTTTACTACAAAAATGAAGAAATTACAACTATGTATTAACAGGCATAGCACATAATGCAATAACATTAAACAGAAGGAAAATGTTTTTATGTACAACTATTTGTTTAAAATAATATTTTATTGAAAAGAAGTTATGTGGCTGTTGAGTGTTTGTTGATATTTATTAATTAACAGTCTATTTTACGAAGAGTTCAATATCAATTTTCCTTAGCTGATAATTTTGATTTTCTTTTCTGATTTGGTGACTTAAGTTTTCTCTATGTGTACAAATAGCAAAAAGGGAGATGTTAAGAATTTTGAACTGGTTTTTATCATGGGTGAAATTCTCAATAAAAAAGTAGATGTACTCAGCTGGGTGAAGTGGACCAGTTTTTTGACAGAGAAAAAAAAAACTACGTGAATACATAAATAAATGAAAATTTCAGCATCAATGAATAAATGCTTTCTGATGGAACAATGGAATGCACCTGCATCCAAAAAACCAGCTCAAATAAGTCCAGGTACTAGTACCACCTTAAAAATAAGTTCCAGTACTATGTACCAGTGAGTACCGGCAAACTTTCACCCCTAGTTTTTATAAAGATTTTTAAATGGCCATAGGTACAGGTGGCAAAATGTCATACCGACCTCTCAATGTAGATTGGCATTGCAGTCACCACACTTATATTTGTAAATTGCCCATGAACAACACACTTTTAGATGTTTGTTTGTCTTTGTAAACAAAGATGCATTTTGGTTAGAAAGTAGTCTTAAATATTATTCTTAGATAATTCTGAGAGTTGGTAGTCTTTGTCCACATTTTGAACAACATTATTCATGTTCCCAGTTTATAACTGACAGGTTTATACTCACCCTACAGTTAATGCAGCAAGGACCTGCTGAACACTGTGCTTCTAACTTCAGTTTGCATGTTATTGGATCACAGCAAGGATCTTCTCGCATACAGTCCTGAAACAGACCTTTCTTTAAGAAATCAACAAATAATAAAGCTCAACATCAACTAAATAATTAATCATGCTAAATATTAGTGGTAAAATGTAAAATATATAATATTTCATCAAACAAGTTGACTGATATAAGGAGGAGTATAACATAACAAACAAGACCCAAAATACTTGAGAAAGGCATGGTATAAAATAACAAACCAAAACAGACTGTGATCAAAAAGGATAGATAAAGCATGATGACCAAAACCTAAAATACTGACCAATATAAAAAAAGAATATAAGAAAAAAATTCAAATTAAAAAAGATACAGCATACAGAACAAAATCCATAATACAGACAGGAACTAAGAAGGTTATACCACAACAGACAAATCCCAAAATAATGGCAGCAAGGGTCCAGTGTAACAAACTATACTGACCAACATAAAAAGAACACAAAATAAACAATTATAATAAATCCCAAAATAATGGCAGCGAGGGTCCAGTGTAACAAACTATACTGACCAACATAAAAAGGACACAAAATAAACAATTATAATAAAATAAAATCTTACCTAATAATCAATATTTTAATAGTATACAAGTTTTTAAGTTCTTAACTCTAAAAGGCAATATTTAAAAAATATCCTGAATTTCCCCTAGTGTGGCCCACTTGACGAATTTTCTCTTAGCATATCATCTTCTCTATTTTATCCATCACCCACCAAAAAAGTAGGAAACTAAACATAAATTACTCTATAAAATCATTATTGCTCAGACAAACCATAATTTTTATAGTTTTCAATTTTGTTTGGTTACAGAGCTATCGAATAGAAAATCACTCTTCCTGGCATGCCTACCTGTCACATCCTCTTTTTTTAGAATTTGTTAATAGTTCTCTCTTACGTTTTAATTATATATTACCTATAACCAATAGAAAGTCAAGGTTTTCATCTATCAAATGATGTATTGTATAACATTATGTAATGAACAGTTAAATATCAATTTCACTCAGAGTACTAACATCATTCCTATGAGAGAGTTAACGACTAGCTTGGATGAATCTGTAACAACCTTTGTCACATAGTTAGAAAGCCAGAAAATTTTTTAGAGAAAAGGGAATTTGTGTACTTTCTGCATGTTATTAGTCTATATTATATATATTATTAGTCTATAAAAATAGGGTTCCTTTTAGGTTAGTTAAGATTAGATTAGGTAAAATAATTAATATTATAATAGAAATGTTTCACGAGGCACACACGTGAGCAGCTCATAGTAACTCGTGGGTAATGTAATTCATAAGCGTAAAGTGAGCTGCATGTTCCCTGAGTGATTTACAACTTAGAATGGACCGGATAGTAGTTAGACATGGTTCAAAGGGTAATAAAATATAGTGGCAATTTTTAAAGTGAAATTATCACAGACTGTATTGCAATAACAGATTAGAGAAGAATAATGTGTCTTGTCAATTGTGTTCTAAAATAATTTAACCAGCCTGTGTAGAATTTGATGAAAAAAAGAGAATTATTTAAAGCTCTGGATACAGCTGTGATAATCAACAGTGTAAAAAATAACAAACATTTGTATATATGTTTGATTTGTTTTATTATTTTAAAACAAGTGGGTCGTGTGCTGTTTGTTTATTGTTTAAATTTATTGCCAACAAGTCACAGACTCCTACTGTAAAGAATCTGGCTCATATGTTAAAACCTGACAAAAAAATGCAATATATGGAAGGTCATTTGCATATTTTTGGAAATCATGTTCCATGATTATTAATGAGGATTCAGCAGCAATGCTTTCATGACGTCAGAAAACAGTCATCTTAATGTTGTCTCGTCTCTCTCCTGAAACTTTTCATAACTGGCTAATAGATTAGATCTAGGAATTCTGAATACATGTATAAGTAAACCAATGGCACAAAAAAATCATTGTAGGTACATTTAGGGACTTCATATATATAGTTGACTGCAATAGTTGCAATTCCAATTTCATTGGCCATCTTTCTTATAAACTTGCTAATAATACCAGGAAATATGCCCAGCTCCATTGCAATATTTTTTGTTTGTTTGTTTGTTGTTTTTTGAGGGGGGGGGGTCTCTTTTGTAACCATGCTTTCACTATGCTCATTAGAGAGCTGACCCTTACTGGCTTAAAGTGTAGTTTTGAAGTCCACTGCACTTTGCTGTGTCCTTTTGTTCCTACATCTTATGAAATCTTATTGTATACCATCCCAGCAATCACGAGCAAAAGATATCTAATTAACATGCATTTTCATAATCTGCCAAACAACTCTCTGTACTAACTATAGTCCAAGATAAACCATTATTGGCAAAGCCTAAAATACAGTTGTGAACTGAGTATACAGCATAACAAAACAATAGTACAGAGTTTACATAAGAACATATAGCCAACAATATAGTATGACTGTTACTCATGAATTGTTGAAAATTGGAGCTGTAAAATATAATAATGACATTAAAAAAAAATTGAACTGACCTCTATATTTCCACAGTCACATTCTTCTTCTCCTTCTACAACCCCATTGCCACACGATTTAAAAGTTTCTAACTACACACACACAAAAAAACAAACAAACAGTGTTATTTACATTATACTTACAACTTTATGTCACACAACATAACTCTCTACTATCAGTATTAAATATTTATTCCATAATAGAACAATATCTTGCCTAATAATCTAAGATCATTGTAAGAATTAGACTTTAAAAATTTAAACAACGTATAATGAAAAACAATAATGACGAAATCATATAGATAATAGCTTAGTGAACAAATATCACATGTATGCTTCAAATTAATTTAGAGGAAACAAAACCCATAACCAACAATCTTTATGAAATTAGGCTTTTTGATAGATATATATATAAATATATCTGACAGTGTCCCGACACTGAAATGTTTGTTTCTCTACTTTGTTTTTTGGTCAACTATTCAAACTTTATTCAATATTTCAAATTTTCTACTATATATATATATATATAAGATGATTATTACTTTCTGTTCTACTGAAAATCAACTCTTTAGAGGGAAATTGGAAACTTTATGTTTGATGGCAACCATTTTTTTAAATTCTGTTTTGTGCCTTTCTCTATTGTTTTTCCATGTGATTTTTTTTCTACACATTGTTTCTTGAATTTTAGTTAAGATTTTTTGAATATATCTAAACGCTTCAACTCTAAAATGATTAAGCAGCTAATAAGAAGAGAAAGGATAAATAACCACATGTGGCAGAAGAAAATTGTATTCAATAATGGCCAAATACTTCACCTCAAAAAACGTATGTAATAAATGAAATTATCCATGTGGTGTACAAATTTAGTAATGAGTAAATAAAGTAATTTTAAGATCAAAAGAAGAAAAATTTACTAATAATTGAATATAAAAACAGGTATTTTGCAGTACTGACATCATTCCTATGAATAGTTGTACCATGAACTAACAATTCCCCCCCCCCTATAATAAAAAGCTATGTGCTTTCAAATAAAATCACCTTAAGCACATTTATAATGGATGGTAACAACCCAATCCAACTAAGTTACATTGCTGGCAGTGTCTCTCAAACAGTTACAAGAAAATACTGACAGAGTATCACTTAGTATGAAGAATAAAGATCTTTATTTAAATAAAATCTAAAGCAGTGAGTAGAAATAACAATTGAATAAAGATAGTGACAAATACTTATAAAACAGTTTGATCTTGTTTTATAATTATATCAGTGCAAGAGGTGTGTGTACACAGTTTAGGTTGAAAATAAATCAACAAAAACATCAGACTTCGTATTTTCTAATATGCTAAGTGTTCTTAAGAAGGGTTATTCCATCTTCTAACTTAGTGTTGAGATAATCTCTTCCAGCCTGGTATGTTTTTTCACCAGGACAAATGAAATTAAGTTTTAAAATTTTGCTTGATTCAGCTTCCCTTAAATTAACTACAAAATAAAACAAAACTATAACTGAAATGTTCAAATCTAAAACTGTTTTCTTGTAAATTTTATTAACATTTATTTTGTATGAAGTAATAAAAAATCCATACTGCTAACTCTAATTGTCATTGTCCCCCTCCACAACTGTAATGTTTACATGAGAGTAGAAATATTTCAAATTCCAGGTCATGTAGATAAAACTTGTTTCTAATTTATTTCTAGTTCAAATAGTTTCAAAGATGCAAATTTGTAAAGTTGATGGTGTCAAAAAAGTGTAAAATTAAACTAAATGTATTTTTGATTTACAATTTTCAAGTTTCTGAAACTGGTAAACTCATAAATATAACGTCTGAAAACTGGAATTACTTTCTTTCTCACAATCTATTCATCTATTTTCTGTACAGCTCCCTTTCTTCCTTATATGACTGTAGTACAAAAAACTCTCACTGCTAGTTTGAAATCAAGGAGCCTTATGGTGGACATGATATAAGAGATTAACATCGGTTATCTTTAAAACAGCTGTACATAATTTCTAAAAGAAATGCAGAGCTAACTTTTATAAATAATATATGGTAAGATATATATCATCTATTCATATTAGATTTAATGATATAAAAGATATTTCATTGCAGAATTTCTTTATATAAACTGGACATGATGTCATTAGGACATTAAATGTATTATTACTCATAAACATACATAAAGCCCGACTTTCAGATCAATGGTTACAGGCATCTTGTGTAACCACATAGTATCTGGCTATGCCACGTAATGTCTTTTTTTTTTTATTTGATTGTAAATTCACTAGAATAACCTAATTTATATTCAAAAACATTTAATAGTTATCATGATTTACATCTGCAAATGCAAAAGTGGCCAGTATAACGCCATTGGGCTGGAAAGGGTTACGTATACAACAGTTTGTTATACTACGAATAAATGGAAAACACAAGCCAGAATTGTATTTTAATTATGATTTTAAAATATATATTAAGGATACCAAAGCATACATTACCTCACCAGGTTTGTTTAGAAGGCATATTCCATTTCCTAACTTAAAAGTTTTGAGGTAATCTTCTTTTGTGCAGTTGGAAAATTGATATGGCTGGATAGAATTGTGACCCCTGAGGGGAAAAAAAAAGTCCACATATTAATTTCGCAAATGAATGAGATTAACATAAATATCTTAGTCTGAACACTTTGAATAGCAAGTATATAATTGGCTTAAATCTAATTTACATAACCTGATAATAATAATACTCATCACCCTATTTTTTCCTTAAATATGCAGGTGGATATAATATGAATATAACGTATGACAGATAGAACTGTACGAGTAAAACTAAGTGCGTGTGTGCATTTCACAACGTGTCTTCTACTACTACTTTTATTTAAATTCATTTAATAGAGTGGTATAGGACATTTCTATTTTCTTTGCGAGGATGTAGAAAGATGCTCAAGTAAACAACTTTTCTTTGCTTTAGCTGCACACAGGGAACAGATTTTTTGTACTAACTGGTCATTAAGTGAATTTTCTTACGTGACTCCACCCAAAAATAACAACTGTCTTTTTTGTCAGAAGACTGTGTAATTGCCAGGAGCTTCCCAATGTCTGCATTTGACCATGAAGGGATTAAGGTTTAGTGTGTGAAGTTTGTGCTGTGAGCAGCCTGGCTTTGTTTATTGGAATTTGGAATTTTAAGGCCAGGCTCTCCCCTATCAAGCAGAATTATTGTTGTTTAGCACAAGTATCATTTCGGTTAAAGTGATTTTTTTGCGAGTTCTTAAGATTTTGAAAAGATAAAGACTTTGACCAGATGTAGCAATCTTAAATTCACCTTTAGATTGAGTTTCACTTACATTTAGCCAGTTTGTATTTCATTTAATTTCAAGAGGTAATTTCATTTACAGTTTAGCTTTATTTTTCTTTTAGCTTACAAGAGTTGGGGGGGGGGGGTACACTGAACTGGTGGGGTCACACAGAATTATTTCTGCATACTCTCCACATGTCCACTAAAAACACTGACCCGTTTTCCTTGTATTTTGTTTGTACTCTGCTAGTGTTCCCTTATTATAGACTGTTCTTGTGTAAAATTTGGGTATTGACTCTCTATAGTGTCACATCTGGTGAACCTCCTGTTTAGTGGACCTTGTCCATTTACTCTGTTGAAAATCCGTGTACAAGAGAATATCGCAATTGAAAAATAGTTTTAAAAGTAGAAATGTAAACATAATATAGTATCACTTTAAGAGGAAAATTACAAAGACAGAGAATCTTTCTTTGATGCTTTTTTGTTGTTTAGAAAATAAAATTGTCTTTAATGCTAAAACTTACATGATACTTTGTTCCATGATACAGCCCCACCAGTCTGGACAGTAACATTCATCTGTAAATGAAAATCTTTATTTCAAAAATGATCAAATATGGATAAAATTATTTGGCTGGTTTCATAATAAATAAATATTCAATTGCTATTTGGACAGTAGTTAGCCATTACCAAATACAAAAAATTTACCAGCCAAACAAAACAATCAGAAATTTGTATCATGCCTGAAGTCCTAAAGTTTTTTTTTTAACCCATTTCACAAAATACAGATGGTCCATATAAATCAAACAGAAGTAAGAAATTCATAATACTAAAATTAAAGGTAATCTACCTAACAATACTGTTTTGTGCAACTTGTTTTTTAGATGCAAGAACAACTATGAAAGTATCAGATAATAAAATGATGATTAAAGATTATCACTAAAAAAAAAAAACAAGTCCTGCTACAAGACTGACTGCATATTGGAAACTGGAGAGGGGGAGGGAGGATATTTTCTTTAATATATATTTTTTTAACATCTGCAATGCCAGTGTCATAGCACAATATAAGACTACAGATGGTTGAGTACACTATATTAAAACAATTTTGGTGCCTCACCACTTACAGTTCATGTTGCCACATCTGGTCATGCTGTATTTGACAACTGTGCATCTTGAAAATAGCCTTCAATGTAGTTTCCTTTGCAAAAGGTTCTGTTGTAAGGGTGTCATATCCAAAACACATTCCTCACCCTTTGGACTTTCAATAATCCATTTAGTGTACGAGAGTCACAGTTCCCAGCTCCCATTTCAATAGTCCAGTCATATAGAAATCCACAGGCACTGCACCTGGCAACTCATTTGATATTTCTTGTTTGGAACTGCATTACCCTAATTAATGTCCCCTATCTAATTATCACTGTTACCTCCCACCACCACCACTCCAGTTGCAGAAATCAGCAATCAATGCTGGTGACTGATAAATATCATGGAGGCTACAATTTTCCAACTTTTTTTTCCCAGTAGCAGCAAACTTCGAAGACGCTTTGGCTGTGTCAATCAGAGGAGGTTACCAGGTACATGGCAGGACTGCTTCACAGGATTTTTTGACACTTATAAACATAAACAATGATTACCATATTTACTGTGATAGTGAGCACTGATGTTTATAGCAAAGTTAGAAATAAATAGGCTATGACTGCTACCACTTATTATAGATATATTTGTTTATAATAGAGCTATTATAATATGACCCAATTAGTCTCAAATTAGCACCCACCTACCCCTTTGCAGTTTGCAACGTAACTGGAGGTGTTAATTAGGTGCAATACTGTATGGCATTCTCCAGATACTTGAGGTATGTGACATTTGAATGAAAGGTATGATTGGAAACCTTATCTCAGTGAACCCATAACCTTTTAGTCTCATTTTCAGCAAGAGATCCATCTTGATTACATTTTGTACTGTTGCCTGGGACACATGGGCAGCTATAGCCATTGACCTTTGTATTCATGGATACTCACCTGTTACAAGACAACTTCACTTTGCTTACCAACTCTGGGGAATGACTTGTTGTAGGTCTCTTTTTGAATGGTCCTGTGTCCCCAAGTTGATCCATAATTTTTGCCATTAAGTACAAGAGATATCATTATCTTGAAAATTCTAAATACCTGATTTGAACAAATCTTTATGATTCAAGTGTACAAATACTTTACATTAGAAAGGTCAAGTACATGCATGTCCTTCCCAAAAGTGATCAGTTTTTGGTGGCATTATACTACCTATGAAATGTCAAACATGACACATACCATTCCACTGACTAGCTTCGTACCAGCTATGGTTTCATATGACTTACTGATTTGCATATTCAAAATCGTTTTAGTATAATATTCTCAACCTTGCAGTTATTCTTGATTTAAAAAACCCAAGCATGTAAATTTAGCTAAATTTTTATTTCCTAGGGCATTGATTTAATATGAATGCCTGAACTGGCTAAACTTGCATATCTTAACAATTACTTCAACACAAGTGTAACAAATTACAGCCTCTGTTTTAGTTTTTAAGGATCCAATTTAGAATTTAACAATCACAGTTAAGCCTATGCAGAACATTTTAAACTATGAGATGATGATATAAGTTTTCCAGACCACTTCAAGTAAGAACATGTAGAGTTTAATGCATACAATAAACAATACTAGTGTTTGTTTCAACCTTTCTTTATGAGTCTAATAAACTTATTCAGTAAAGATGAAATATGAATTAAATTCTTACCACTTTAAGAGTTAGATGACATTTTTACGGACAGAAAACACTTATTTTTCTTAAGTTAAGTGACTGTACAAGCTGTACTATAATGGTAAAAAAAAACATTTTAAAGATTGACCTTAATGATTTTACATTTTTCATAACTTTGTTTTTCCTGTATCATACATATTTCAATCACAATACATGTAGCATGAGCCTAAAAAAAGCTAAATCTTAATTTAATAAAAAAAGCACTTATTCTTTCTCAGTAAGTTAGAACAAAACTAAGTCTATTTGATTGATTAAAAAATTATTTCAAATTGATAATTACAATGCTTAACACACATTGAACATTTTCCTGAGATTGAATGCAATGTTCATCAAAAATACTCAAAACTTTCAATTTGTAAATGAATAGAAAGTGAGCGATTTCACCTAGTACTTTTGGCGAGTTCTTAACACTGAGTGTTGTAATAAGCAAAAACATAAAATTACCCATACGTAAATTTCACTGGTAGTAAATGCTACAAAAACAAGTAGGCAATTTTAAGAGTTAATTATAAAAGAAGTAAAACAAATAAATCTCTTTTAATTTTACATTTTGTTCCATTTATGCTTTATTTGCAAACTTCAGGTTTCAAAACTCAATAAGTCACCTGTACTGAAAGCATTGCTATTTGTAAAAAATTTTAATAGCGTGAATGAATTTAAATTTAAATTATTGTCTATCTTCTACCCTAAAAAATGAAGGTAACTAGAGAAGAAACAAGAAATACTTACTTGAATGGTCGTGACTGATGCCTAGGTTGTGGCCCAGCATGTGAGTTACTGTTACTGCTACTACATTAGGTTCAAAGATGTTGGTTACCTAAAAAGTGGATGGTTATATTACAACTATTTTTTTTTTCATTCAATGCATGTGGACTTAACAAGCTGGACTTCACTTGGATTAACAGAAAGTTTCAAATTAGGTCCAAGGTGAATATGAACAACTTACAGTGGATACCGTGTGAATAAAACTAGAAATATCAATGAAGATATTCAAGGAAAACTTGTACAATGTAACATTATGTAAATTAAGTTATGCTGTTTTATATTGTTACTTAAAGCCATCGACAAGATTAAATCACAGTAAATTATATAACATGGAATTATATCTTATTAAGAACAAAATTCAGTATCTCATAAAAAAACAAAGAATTATTATTATATCTTATGAAAAAAATTGAGAATAACTTTGTTCCTCATAAAAACTAGCATAGAATTATACCTTATGGAACACTTGAGCATATCTATATACCGAATGAAAAAATAGCAGAGAATTAAGTCTTATGGAACACTGGAGCATATCTATGTACCTCATAAAAACTAGCATAGAATTATACCTCATGGAACACTTGAGCATATCTATGTACTGAATGAAAAAATAGCAGAGAATTATGTCTTATGAAGAATATTTGTTTCATATGTTCATGCCTGATAATATAAAAGCTATATGTGCTAATCACCACTCTTATAACACACCCACAGCATGACTTTGTGGCAACAGGTCATGAACCATGGACCCACAGTTTCACAGTCTGGCATGCTAACCACTAGGCTGTGCCTGGTGCTTTAAAGAACATAAACATAGCTCTTTAACTTTAACTGAAATGTTCAACAATTACTTTTCACAGTGGGTGGTATAAGTAGCTCAAACCTTTGGCTCTGAGTGAAGCAAGAGTGCAACACAATTAACCTTTTTAAAGTCCATGAAATAATATAAAATGATAAGTTAACATAAACTTTCCCCATCACAGGGGGTGGGTACTTTTGCTTGTTTCAAATAACATTAAAAAATACATGTTCAAAGTACAATATTACAATAATATTTTGGTATAAAAAACAGACAATACTATCATATCTTCTTACCTGACTTACACCAACTGCATTACTTTTACATATAGAGTCAGGAACTGCCATTCCTGCCACATTACCCACAAATGTACGTCCACTAAGAAAAGAATCTGTTATGTAGCAGGTTTTTATTAAATTTTTTCTAGGATTTATGCATGTCTTGTACACTTTTCCAATATATATAAATATTGTAGTTTCTTTTACATTCATTTAAAAAATATACATACATAAACCATTTCTTAACATGAGGTAAAGAATACATTATATTTCTCTATTTGAATTAAAACATTAATATTGCACTCATACAAAATTCATTGAACTTTTATAAGTCTCTACATGTTCTTTCAAGGCAGACAAAAGTTATGAAGAAGTGTTCACAAAATAGCACAGCGTAAAACAAGAGGGAATCCTCAATAGCCGCAGCACTTGAAATTATTTTAAGCAGGATTAGAGGAAATTAATCCATGATACCTTTTTTTCTTCTTTTTTTCTTAGCTATATTTTTGTGTGCCAACAAAAACAAGTGTGGGGCGTGCATATACCTGATTTTATTTTATTACTCACCAGGTAATGATACAGTTAAGCACAACAACATTTGTGACAAGAGTTGACACAGAGCCCCAAAGAAGGCACTAGAAGATAATTCTAGCACTTATAATAAAACATGGTGATGATAAGTTAGGAGATGAAAAATTCATCTGGGTTAGATTCTTCTTGTTTAAGAAGAAACGAGTTTATAGGACCACAAAAAGAACTGTAACCAATACTGACTGATACCAGTTCTCTTGTTACCATTCTTTGGCCACATTTCATCCTCAAAGATTGGAATCTGTCTTCACAAGTAAAGAATCAGATTAGACAGTTGTATTGTAAATTCAAGTTCAGTTAATGACCCAGTGTAGGGAAAGATGATGATTAATCTTGTAATCAATAATTAACTTTGTCTTAGAGAAACATTTCATGAAGAAACATGACAGTGTTCTTACATGTCTTTGAAACAATTTCACAATATTTTAAGTAAGAATAATAGGCCAATGTGCCAAAAGCAACATCTGCAGATGAACCTGTTGTGATTTTTAGACAAATGACTACCAATTTAACTTGAAGTGAAGCTTGTATAAATACCTAAAGCTGGTGCAACAACGAGACTGAATGTTGTTCAAAAGTATTGTTGAGTTGAAATGTTTAAGCAGCAGCAAAAGGCATGAATTTGAAGTTTTGCATGTTAGAGAACAAAAAACATTGATAACAGGTGTCTGGGTGTGATTGACAGGCAGAAGACTTAGTTTCAGAACTTGCCACTTGTAGATAACTATAGTACACAAGTTCATAAAACTGTAGTTTTTGCTATTATCATGAATTAATAAAGTTTGATAATAATTTATGATTTTATTGGCTTTTCTCTCAATGTCATGAAGGCAATTAATAACTGTCAACTTGACTCAAGTGTGATTATTATCACTACTTTTACCAAATGTCAAAAATTGCCAAAAGTGGTCTGGTGGGCTGGCAAGCATGTAATATAGACAAAAATCTAGTCTCACAGCACCGGAAATCTGATGCAAGTATTGCTAGTTTTAGTTTTAAAAAAATACTACTACTACTAGCTTGTTAAACGAACCAATCCATAACATTTTACAGTTTATGGAATCCATGAGAAAAAGAAAATAAAAACAACAAAACAAGCCATGGGTATCACATTATGATAAAATATGCTCATTTGTTAATAAATGTTCAGAAAAAATTATAAATGTTTGAATATGTTAAATGCGACATTCAAATATACAATATGATCATTCGATACAAATTCTAAAAAAGTTCAACCTTAAAAAACAAATGCTTAAAAGCATGTTGTTTTATATAAAGCTTTAAATATACATAAAAAATTACACAAAATCATTTTAGTTGATTGAATTTGTCCACATTTGAAATGATCTTAGAAATTACAATATTTATTTAAGAAGCATTGATATAATAGCTAGTTTTGTATGAAAATAAGAAAAAAATAAAACAAGCATAAATTAAGATATTCTTAATTCTGAACTTACGTCAACATATGAGTGGCATCTTTAGTAACTTTCAGTAAATGTCGTGATGCATACACCAAAAGATCAAGGACTGTTTTTTTCAAATCCCTACTTAATCTCATCTGATCTTCATACTCCCAGGTTTCTATGTATGCTACAGAAATTCTAGTATTTATGGACTTCATGTACTGAAAAAACAACAACAAATATCAGGTATCACAAGTACTGTAGACAAAGAAAAGTGTTAAACATATGGGGGAATTTAATGTGTCATTTTGACTCCTTGACATATGATACGAAACATTTTCCAAAAAATAAGATGAAAAATACACCACTTAGTCTTCAACATCAATATAAATTTGACAAATTTTTACTCAAGAATGATTCAAATACAGACATTCACAAAAGACAAACTTCCATTGCAAACTATGGACAAAAATGTTTAACTGAAAGAACAAACATGCAAGTACCTCATAAACTTGAATATATGAAACTTACTTTAATACTCTCTAATTAATTTTATTATAACTGATATAACTTTCAGGCATCAAGCTCACTTTCATATAAATTTTTTAAAAATTAAGTAAAAAAAAGTATGATTATAATTATATTTCAACATTATGTAGTACTTAATTAATTCTGAGGAATTTCACCTCTTCAACTTTTTAGAATCTTCATGCTCATCCAAGATAGATATTTTATTTGATAAGAAACTACCATCTCTCTGAAATATAATGATCCATGTCTTGTTTTTCAGTTCATTTTCCTTCTCTGTTAGCAGTTTTATTACTAAAGCTCTTCATTGCCACCCCTTTTATGAAGTCAAAGTATGTGGTCTGAACAATATTACTACGAAGATCAGCTCTGAAAATAGCTGGAGCCAACAGCTAAAAACTACTGAATAGAAGAAATCCAAATTTATCCATGTCAATACAGAGTAAATAAATTGGATTTAACAGAAGTTTGTACTGTCTTTTTTGGCATATTAACTACCCAGAACTCCCATAACAGTGAACATTTAAAAACAAAACACAGATCTGGAAGTTCTTTAAAACTTTCTTTTCATTCCTAACAATATTTCTTTGTTAAATTACACTTGTTTAAAGCTACAGGAATATTCTTCAAAGACAAGCCATCAAAATAATTCTGTTAGGTTTAACAAAAATAGTAAATGACAAAAATCCTTTTTCTATTAAATACACAGTTAAGTTTATAATATTCAAACAACACAAATAAATAAAAAGATTATTATTTATTGGAAACAAACTATGTTTATTACACACAAATTAATCTGAACCAAGAATACTGGTGGCAAAAAACATGACACAATGCTTGATAAAGGTAACAGTACTACCATTTTGAAAATAAAGGGTCATTTATCACAAATAAATATTTAGGTTTTGCCATGTTTTGTATGATTTATAGTTGTAAGTGGGGACTACTATAACTGGCAAAGTAAAGTATTAATTGTTTATTTGTTATTAAGCACAAAGTTACACAATGGGTATCTGTGCTATGCCTACCATGAGTACAAAAAAAACAGTCTTCAGTGTTATAAGCCCTCAGACTTACTGCTGAGTCACCAGTGGGCAATAATAATTAGTTAATAAATAATAAAACAAGTTTGTTAATAAATATAAAACAAGTTGTTACTGACTAGATATACAAAAGGGAAGTTCTGATCAATAATAAAAACTTAATGTTTTTAATGTTTTCTTAAAACTTAAATCTCAATAAACTTTTGGAAATTTCACAATGTAAAAAATTATACAAATACAAAATCTAATTATATAAAAAAATTTAAGCTAAAACTAGATACTATTTAGAAAGCTTGTATTAAATTTCCAATAGTTTAATTAAGTATTTCCAATATGAGAATGAAAAAATATCAGAAGATATTAAGGAGACCTCTCTTGTCTAGAAAAGGTTGACTAAGTTTCTACCAAACTGTATGTTCCATTACTCTTCTATCAAACTTACTACAAATGGTTGAATATATTTTTTTTAAATATTGAAAAGATATAAACAATTTTCTAAAAATATCAAGTTTTTGATCAAAGTCTGAACTACTATCAATAATTTGAGCTGCATTGTCTTGTGATGTTTAAGACTAACTTGTCGTTATGAGTAAGTTTAGCACATGTTTTAAATAAGAAGAGTACAAGAGAATCACAGCTGAATTACTAGGTTTGCTTGTCTTTAACATAAACTACATACACAAAATTAAACGCAGTTTGTTAAAAAAGATAATTAAATGATTACTTACCATGTCCACACAATTGATTATCTGAAGGGCATCAGATATAACTAAGTTTCTTGTACTGTTTTCAAACTGAAATATTAAAATACACAGTTGATCACGATCATTGCACATTTAATACAAATATACAAAGAAAAAGCTTCAGAAAGACAAATGTCATAACTGAGTCATCAGAAAGTAAACAGAACTGTAGAGCACTAAAAATATATCAAATGATCTGGATATCATCCAGATACCAACAGAAGTTTTATTTTTAAACCACATATTACTTATTAGACCGTGGTCTAAATTACTTCTGATACACGGTTAAGTTATGACTTAACTCATTAAACACTGTTTCAAAATCTAAGAGCAAAATTCTGATAATGTTCTTAATATAGTCTTATGAAATGCAATAAAATAATTTCTTTGAACAGAGATTTAACAATAAATGAAATTTGTTTTGTTTCTCAGAAAGCTTCATTAATCTCAATAATGTCACAAAATAAACAGCAATAATAATTTGATAAATGCACAATGATTTACTTAATCACAAAATAATTTACGAACAGCAGAATTATAATATGATGAAATTGTACGTAAATGAATCCTTTTAACTATTTGACCACTCCCTACACTATTCTCACACTTGTAGCCACTTAAATATACGTGTTTACACATTGTTAATACAACCATTGCTATGAAACCATTCCAAAAAGGTACAGTTTTTCTAATAATTACACAAAAACAATATTGTAAATTTAGTTTATCACAATAGTTTGCATCAAAAACAAAATCTACTAGTGTAAAAGCTGACAAAAAATGGTTATCAAAACCTAAGTTGCTCCAAAGTAGTGAAAATATTTATCTATTTATTAGTTAATTATTTTCTTTAATTCACATTCCTTCAATTCTGAAATAAAAAACAACATTACCATGGCTTGATCCAAAACTAAGGCTAGCTCAATGTATTTTGTGACTTGTCGTATATCCCTCTGAAATAAAACCAATTTAAAAATAAAACTATTGCAAGAAAAAACAAATGAACAAGTTCACTCATAAATATTATTACAATTCAATGCCATAAGTTTTCATTTATAAATGTCTTAATCAACACCATTGATTTGCACTAACATTTTGTGTGTAAAGATATATCAATGAATTTTGCAGTAACCTTAAAATATATATTATTTTGTTAGATAAATAGTTGGTTAGATTTTGTAATTGTGTTTTACAAGTCTGGCTGATAAGTGTGTTCAGTTATATGTAGGTCTGGAACTTACTACAATAAGAAAAATAACTCCAAACTGTTAGGCTTTATAATTAAACCTTTCAACAATGTTAGATTAATTTTTGAATAATATGATATTTTCTAATTGCTTTTCTCTATGTTTATAGTGCATAACTGAAGTTGGCTTAGTGTATATTTGAAATGTAATTGTGTTACTTTTTGACATGTAAAAACTAAACAAACATTTTTTAGAGAAATACTGAGGAAGAACATGCAAGAATGATTAACCTGTTTCAATAAACTATTAAACTTTATTACACAAAAAGGTTCTGTCAATTCCAAAAAATTCCAATTGAAAACTGGTACAAAACATTATAAACAAATCAGAGAAAAATTATAATAACTTACAGAAGTAATCTGAAATTCCTAAAATGGTTCATCAGTTATGAATCTCCCCAAAAATTTACATAAACAGACTGAAAAATAAAATATTTTTTTCATAAATTAAAAAGATAATCTTACTCAAAACAAGAAATTAAACAAAATAAACATAATGTCAAATAAAACATATCCCAGTAACAGAACAAGTCATGTTGTTAAAATTTGTTTACAAACAACAGGGAAATGAAATGAGTTTGAAATAACTTTTACAGAATAAAAAGTAACCAAAAAGTGTTATAACACAGTTTTGTGTAAAATCATTACACCCATGTACTACTTCTAAAGCCTAAACTCTTTCAGCATGGATTCGGTCCCTGGGACCGATTACGTAATCATTTTGTGCTTGTTATAGTTTTCATGCTATAGCTTTTAAGTTAGTATGTGATTGTTAACGAAATTTGGCAGATTATCAGTAAACATTACAATGCTTTCATAAGCAAAATATCAATTTTTTTTTTATTAAGTCTTAAGGTTTTTCTCATGTCTTTTTATATCTTTTCGCATGTTGCCCATCTATCTATTTTGGAATTTCACATACAAATTCTCTATAATGTCCAGATAGTTATCAAATGTTTAAGAAAAAACTTTATATTTTATATGTTATTTTCATTAATGAATCTCTGTACGGGTTTGGTCGATTTGACCGATCTCATAACCACTATAAAAAATTAGGAAGTAAATATAAGTTATGCCTCTTCATTCTATAATTAACACAGATTATAACATGAAAACATAAATGTTTAGACGAAATAGCTTAACTCTCATAACATTATACATTTAGTATTTTTATTATATTGATCTTTCAGCCATGCCTGGCTAACAGTACAGAAGTTACAACATTGCTGCTCATGTGCACTCATGTTACCGTATCAAATAACATAAAGGTGACCTTTGGTCTGTACAAAGTAACCTGTCTTGGCTGTGTTTTAGTCGACTAGTATTTTGTAAAATAGTCACATTTCAATTATTATACATTATATATGTATATAGATTATTGCTATTTTGAAATAAGTTCTTAGTTATTTTCCCTAAAACATAGAACAGTAAATAAAGAAGTGAAGCAAACAATTATCTCTTCTAGTTACGACCTTTGTACTTGGTTGCTGCTTGACGTAGG